GGGTTGCAGCTTCAAGGGAGAAAAAGAAGCTGATTCTGAGGAAAGGGGAATGAGCACATGCATGCAATGCACATTGTGATTTTTCCAAGTTATAACCTCTGTCCACTTCAGTGAACATTTTTATTTTGACACATGCCAGCTAAATATTATTGACCATGCAAGTGTTGATAGGCTCTGTGAAGATGTTAGGAGGGGATAAGGGCTGCTGGTGTTTCATGCATTAACCAACCTATATGTCCTCATTTTAATGACACAACTGGTCCAGTGAAAAAAACAATGAAATCTGAGTGAGTCAGGTGTTGGATGAGGGCTATACTGATTAGACCAGGGATGCTGAAACCCAGGTCCTGAGGCCAGATCTGGCCCTCGGGACCATGTTATCCAGCTTGCAGGGTTCTCCATGGGTCCAGAAATTTGGTGGTAGAGGAGCAGTAGCACCACTCCACTGCTGCCAAATTTCCAGACCTGTGGAGAGCCCCAGGCCCTGCGCGCTAGATGATATGTGGGGCTAGGCATGGGTAGTATAGGCTACGAGGGCCTGATACAAGCATGTAGGGTGGTGCTGCGCTCCAGGCCCCAACCTTGGCACACAGGGCTGGCAGAGGGCAGTGCTGGACTCCCAGGGCGGAAGTGGTGCCAGGCCCCAGGGCACGATCTAAATGCACGAGGGCCAGATGTGGCCCCTGATTCCGGTACGCAGGGCTTGATCTGGGCCAAAAGCTTGAGCACCACTGGATTAGGGAATGAATAAATGAACGATTTTCAGGGTCTGGGCTAGGAAGGGGCCTTATACCTCAAGAAATATGGTAAAATATATATTTAATCAGTTGGTTCTGAAATATGAAGCCACAAAACCACTTCATTGCCTACTTGGATTTCACTGTTTTCTTCCTGAAGTGGAACACTTGCTTTGAAATATGCTTCTGTTTAGATTCTAGTTTTCTGTCTTTTGTTTTGGAAATGTGCATTGTCAACCAATTTGACAGCTAAAAAGTCAAGCTAGCAAATCCTTTCATGAAACTGAAACCTGTACAGTGATTGCAGCAAGTGCTGAGTGGATGATTTTAATGTGGCGGTACAGTAGATGTGAGCGTGCTGTGAAAGGCTGAGATGTAAAACCAGATGCTACCATTAGATCCACACTTCTCCCACACAGTGGGTGTCTCCATGGTTCTGCAATACACTGAGGATCTGCAGGTGGTCATTCCCATAGCCCATGGAGTGGCATCCACAGAAATGGTCATTTAAAGAAAGATATTTAGCTCACAAAGTTGCATCACATATTTATGAAGTGCCTGTTGTAGATCTCAAATGGGTGGGCATTACTGCCTTCAATCTACAGATAGGGAAACTGACTCACTGAGAAACTAAGCGACAGACTGAGGCAGT